TTATTTTCCTGATAGCGATCCCAAATTTTCCACCATGTATCATTAAATCTGCTTTAGAACAACAAACTCACCAGGAAATAATAAGTTTTCACAAGCAAAGATAATTTACCATGAACTACCCAGAGAGTGCTGCTTTTYGCTGTAAAAAAAGGGGTATGGATACGAAACACTTTTAATGATGTTAATAATCAGTTTTAAACCKTAAAGACACAAATTTTAATGAATTCTCTGTTTGTTCCCATATATACAATAGGTAAGGTCAGAGAAAAATACACACTCTCTTTCCATTTCAAAGGATTGGGAAAAAGTTTTATTTCTGCTGAAAAGGGGTGTTTTCTGACAGGCAGATTCCCCACAAAACTAAAATAAGAATTTCTTTCCTGYTGAGAAGAGATCACTCCATTTTCTCTCTCACGATGAACAGAACACTCGTTATGAACCAGAACGTCCCATGAATTCTTGTTTAAGTGTGATTTAAGGTTTCATTCTGGTAATGGCTCACTGTTCCCAAGCACTCAACTGTCTTTTAAACTAAACAAAAATATGAATTAACCAAGAACATCAAGATTTATGKGCTGCCCTGCTGCCAGCCTTGCTATTAGATGTCACTCTGGTGTCTTTACAGCAATTTTTATAGAGCACTTTCAACCTATAACTACCATAAATGTGGTGTCACTCTCAAAGAGAAACTCAGCCTGGCTGTTCAATTTTGCAAAACGTTTGCTAATAAAAATGCTTTTAAAAAAATTTCCTTTCCAGCTGAGCAAGGCCATGAATTATTTTTGCGTGCCTTTCAAAAAATCAGGCAGAAAACAAATGATTTCTTATTTTAAAAACCTGACAATAAAAAGACTAAAACAATTAATATTCAACCTCTGGATAAAGGTGATGTTCCATCAACACAAGTCTGGGACATTTACTGACTTTATTAAATCTTTATAGAGTTTATTAACCATCAGCAAGAAAAATTAAAACATTTCTAATACTTCTATATTCTCAAATATAGTAAGTAAGGTAAAATAGGGAGGTTTCTGGATATTTTGATCATTTTATGTCTTGTAATTGGACTAAGAATACAATTGTTTAATGAGGAATAATGTATTTCTCTTGATTACAGGAAATTGAAAAAGCTTATCAGATGATCAGACAGGAACAGTCCAATTTAAACCCTGACCTTGGAGAACTCATCCCCATCCCTTTATACCCCACAAAACAAGACCCAACTCCCAAACCAACCCAAGACAAACAGAAATGCTGCAAAAAATACAGGAGGAAAGTGCTACTCACCACCAGCTTTGGAGARTCTTTGATCTGGATTAAAAACGTGGCCTTTGTCATCGATGTTGGTGTGGAGAGAAGAAAGGTCAGTGGAGAGAACCAGCAGCAGTTTGTCAAAAATAAACTGAGTATAAAGGACTTTKCAGGGCAGGGGAAAGGGAATTGTGCAGCTCAGATGAATACAAATAGTTCCTAGAGGATCATGTGTTTTTCTTCTCTTTCACAGCACAGGTTCTATAATGTTTTGAACTTGCAAATTAATATAATTTAAATCATTTYCATGGRCATCTCATTTGAAAACCAAGCAAGAAATCACAATTACTTCCCAAATTCAATCAGAAATCAAATTTTTGAAGTTTCTAAAGCCAGGRGAACACTCTCAGCTGAAAGTGCCACTCATTTGGGCATCAAACCAATGACAGTTCATTTGCAAAATCCATCTCACTGGAGTTTTGTCCAATCAGTCAGAACTTTCTCTTCAGTATTTTATGATGGAGCCAAATCAAATCAGTTCCTGGATACCTATTGGCAGATCTGCTGCTTTAGTAGATTAACCTCATCCCTTATTTAATGATTTACTAATTGYTCACACAGGCAATCTCTATTTTTCAAAGCTGTTTGTGCTCCTCCTGGACATGTGCTCCCATCCAAGTACCTCAAAATGCTGCAATTTTTCTAATTAATACTTGACCTTTACCAGTTCATTCTAAGTTTGGCCTCAGCTCTTGTTTTCCACCCTGGAAAGTACCAGTGCAGTTGCAAAAAATCTTTCTTTTATTTCTACAAAACCAATGTCCTAAGGCATGAACACATATGTAGGAAAATGAACTGGAAAGCTGCACTATTACAGGCTTTGTAACCATTTTATAATCAAAATAAATATTTCAGCAACAGGCAAAAGAAACAACATAATACTGTTCCAAAATTGTAGCTAAGTGTTCCTAAAATTTTGGAGCAGGGATCATTAATCCTGATTAGCCTTGCAAGTAAGTCAGGGGAAAGTTTATGAACTACCAGTAGCTTTCATTTTCAATGCAAAAATCTGTCATTTTTAAAGGTTTTTAACTGGGAATTATAAGCTAACACAGTCTCAAGTCAAGCTAAAAAGAAGCCACACTTTTGTCAGCAAGGAAGAAGAGCCTTAAAGCAGTTTTCAATTAGACCATGYTTATTTCTTAAATTTATTCCTACTTAAACTTATTCCTGAAACTGCAGTTTTCTTGGATGGCAGAAGTAAATCTCATTTCTGTGGTAACTTGAAGCCCAAAGTAAAATTCAGCTAATTTAAAATTTTGTGAGTTTAAAATACAAATCAATTGGAACAAATCAGTTCCAGCAGCCCTGATATCCATCAAATCACCTCTATCAGTGATGCAATTATTACCCTTAATTCAATTATTTTGTTTAGTCCTGTGATATTCAAATTCTCATTCAGTCTCTGTGGCTCAAAGTCAGCTGAACAAAGAGTGAACAGGCAAAGTTTTGTGCAGAGCAAAATCCCACCTGAGTCTTGCAGCTGGGATGTATCAGTAATTTGCCTGCAGCAGTGAAATTTGTCTCCTGCATTGAAAGGTATTTTATTTTTTTTTTTTATTAAAATCCTGCTTAAATAAGGCAGAGTTGGCTCCGATGACAGGAGTAGAAAGCTGCCCTAACCAGGCAATTTTATRTCTTGCTTGTGGCCAGAACAGTGAGTGGATCAGCCCCTCAGCTTAATTAAAATAAAGCATAATTAAGAAAAAAACAAAACATGGCATCATACACCTCTAATACAGCCCTTGTCTCCTGTACTGAATTGTCAGGTTTCAGTATTAAGACAAAAATCTGGAGTTACAGAACAAAACGCTGCCAGAAAATGTTGGAATTCTGTCACTGGAAGAAATAATATTTTTTGATGTTTTTCTTGATGATACCATTTTCTGCTTTAGTAAGGTACATTCTTCAGGGGGAAAAAAAAAAAAGACATTTATCTTAGAGCACACTTTGAATGCCTGCAAAACACCTGTCAGTTTGTCAGGGTGCTGAGCGCCCTCCTTTCCAAGCTGGTGAAATAAAAAGAAATGAAAACTGTTACTACGCTTTCTGTAAAATAACCTAGACAGAAATTCAGTGCAGACCATTCAATATTTTTGCAGCCCTTGTGTACTTGTCTGATGCTTGGTATCTCTTTCATTTAAAGGTGTACAATCCTAGAATCAGAGCAGACTCTGTTCTAACCCAGCCTATCAGCCAAAGTCAAGCAGAGATGCATAAACAAATTCTGGGCATGTCTCCATCAGGTAGAAATATTAGCTCAACATTTCAATCCATTAGCTGCAATTGTTAATAYAATCGACGTGGCAACGAGAGGAGGAAGCAGTTTTAAAAAGGTAATTTTCCTGAATTTTCTTCCAGGGAAACTCTTCTGCTTGTATCCTGAAGAATTTACATACAAAGAGATGAGGCCACAAATCCCAGCTAAAGTTCAAGAATCCAAACTCACCAGCCTGGTCCTGTTCCTGAAGAGGATGGACATAGCAGGATTTGCACACTGTGACTTCATCAGCAGCCCAGGTAAGGGGCTGCACCAATTTGTCATATTTATTATTATTATTATTATTATTATTATTATTATTATTATTATTATTATTATTATTATTATAGGATTCATTTCACCCTGTCACTCACAGGACTGTTTTTCATTTAAGCACCTATAATAATATCACCCTTTTACTACTGCAGCATCTCTCAGCTCAACAGCACTTAAAAAAAAAAAAAAAAGACCATAAAGTAACTGAATGGAATTGGAATGTTAAAAAAAATCAATATTCCAAATATCTTCGCATCTAGGTTACATATTATTTTCCTGGAACCCACAAAGGAAATTTGTGCCCCATTGTTGGAGGCATTGTGCAGATATCCAACTGAATATATTCCTTTAATCAAAAGTTTACAACCCAAATAAACCACTGTTGTTACCTAGGGGATGTATGTGGAGGAAATGAGCTTCTTCCTTATCCTCCAGCATCTCCCACCTCGAATTTACAATGGGCTGTTCCTTAAGGATAATGTTCCTTATAAAATAAACCCAAATAGACTTTCAATACTAGATAGGGAAGATGCTGAATTTCGAGGTAAGAATGTGAAGGAAGTTGCCTTTTTTTCACCCAACTTCATAATTTAGGTTTTTTTCTATAAAAGGATATTTTCCTCTGTTCTGGCCTATCACAAAATCCAAGTACCACTGCAAATTCTGCTGTTGATTTCAAATTCATTAAAGTTAGGGAAATAGCCCTGATTTCATTGATTTAGGGATTGTTGGTTTCACTCAGGATAATTTTCCTGGGCAAACAGGAAAAATTCTTATATTATCTTGCCTTTCTTCATGTACATGCACAAAATTGTAATGATCACTTCTCTTTTGTGTTGTGAACCATAATTAATCAATAATAGAGTTAATTCCTCACAGTTGGATTATTATTAATAATTAATAAGAGTTCCTCACTGTAGGATTTTGCAATAGTTGGTAAATGGAATCTTTTTCCCTCACCTGGCTGTTTAGCAGAAACATGCCTAAAAGAAATAGGAAAAAAAAATTGTTAGTCTGGTGGTAATTAATTCAAAACCAATGAGAATTGGAGTATTTGGCCTTGTGAGTGTCACGTCCTGTGACACTGAATCCAAGAAACCTGCATGGAAAAGGATTATGGAACACAGTTTGCTTCCACTCAAATTTAAAATGTATTTTACCATTAAAAAAGTACATACTAAAAAGTACATACTACATTTTTCCTGGATATGGAGAGTTTTTCTTGAACTGTAGAAAGAATTAGTAAAATTATATGAGGGAAAGCATTCAGCATTTTGGGGTTTAAAGGTGCAATGGAGACAGCATTCAGAGAAAAWTAAATGCTAGAGGCATTTCAGGGTTTCACAGATGTGAGAATTCTAAGTTTTGGCTGTATTTTTGCCTAATGCAGCTGAAGAAAGCATTGTGCTGATGTGAAAAAAATGCATTTGATGAATGCATGGGCTTTACTTGGATGGACATTAAATATGACAAAGTTTTTGCTGACAATCAAGAGTGTCAGGTTAAGGTATTGAATCGTTTTGGGGATTACTAAACAGTGTAAGGAATGTTGGACAAACTGCTTGAACAAAGSAGAAATCCCACAAACACTGCAGGGKTCCTCTGGAAGCAGAGGAGAAAGTCTGCACAATTTCCTGCTCTCCTTCCTGTCTTACCCAATTAAAAATTTGAGACAGAGCTTTAAGGGTCCAGCACAGCTCTTCCTTYATCCAGGATATATCAAACATTGCCTTTCTTTCAACTTTGGAGCAGGCAATAAACTTTTTTCCTACCAGCACTGAGGCTGATCCCTAGAGAACCCTCCAGAGATGAGTGCAAAGCTCCCACAATCAGAGCACAGAGAGCTGGAAGTGCCTGCTGTGAAATGTTTGTCTGGAAAAGAAAGGAATAGAAAGGGAGAAATGTGTCAGGGGAGTCAGGTATTGTGTCAGAGCARCTCACAGAACTCAAAACATGTCAGGCTTTTGTGCACATCAACCCAAGGATGGGTTGGGCTGGAAGGAACCTTAAAGATCACTCAGTTCTGACCCCTGCCATGGGTTTGACTGCTCCTCACCTCCTTGGACTGGAGTTCCTTTGAGTAAAATGAGTAAAACCATTGAGCATCTTCCATCAGAACTCTTCCTGCTCAACAAACATTCTCACCTCACCTTTGCAATTGAAACAGAGGGAGGTTTTGGGGTTTTTAGGTGAATTTCTCCCAAACAAAGTAATTTTTTTACTTAGCTGACAGAGTAAGGCATGGGCATGAGCTGGTGAGCAAACAAATCAGAACACTGAAATTCCTAGCAAGAAATACTTCACAATCTGTTTCCTGCACATTGAGAACRTACAGCAGATAAGAAACAAAAATTACAACAGTAAAACATTTTATTTCTGCTCAGCAACAATGTGCACAAGGGATTTTTCTTTTTCTGCTGCTCTTTGAGGAGAAATAAAAGCCTGGATTAAGTCTGACTCATTACTGCATTATGAAAGCAACAAACATGTCAGGCTTACAGCTGCTGCATTTAATTCATGCCATAATCGAGGGGAGCAAATGCAGCAGAGCTTGTTTTCTGGAATTCATGAGCCAGAGGAAAATGAATCTGGCACTGCAGCTCCCAAGTGCATTAGYGGGATTCCAGTGCCACTAGAACAGGGCTGTGTTTACATTTTGATCAGTTAATCTGATAGATCTTTGCTTGGGTTTGTAATGGGACAAAAGAATTCCAGGGCCACAGATTGCACCAGCACCGTGTGCTTCTGTAAATCACTGCAAAATCCTTGCTTAAACCAAGTAAATCATTTTAAAGAAAAGGCCACGTAAGATTTCTGTAAGGAATCAAGGTGAAGGCATTTGAAGATTTTGCATTCATTCAGAATTTCCATAAACAATTTTCAGATTAAAGGATGTGTCGATGGTCATGGATACCATCACATTTGAGAGCTATGCTTTTACAAACCCATGGACAACACAGTTCTAGAAAATCCAGAATAACAAAAGTTGTATACATTTATATAATTTCAAATTATTCCAGAAAAAACGTTGTTGGCGTATTTTCTCTGGAGACTGCCAAAGACAGAAAGTCAATGCACCATGTAAGATCTGCTCAACAGAGATTACTTCATAGCAGATTTATTATCTTAAATTTCCTTGTTAATTCTTTGATGTTTAAAATTCTGGAATTCATCAATTAAATATTAATATGACTGTCAATGAAAAACTTTCTAGAAGCACAGACATGACCACAAACTACATGGTCTGTGCTGTACAAATCCAAGGAAAAGCATAAATGGGAGCAGCAGGGACCATCACCAATGGAGGAATGGTAAAGCAGCGTGAGGGGGAAAGTCTGAGTTTGGGGGAGAAATTTTCAATGATGAATTATCATTTCAAAATAATAGGTGTAGAACTGGTGGCTCCAGAGCAAGACAGACACATAAAAAAATCTGACTCAAAAGGTACAGACAGAAAAAAGAGAATCAGGGGGAAACCTGCCCACAGAAGCTTGTGCTTGAGGAGAAAAACCTTCGGATAATTTGAGAAAAACTTGGCATAGATTCCTCCATCTCTTCAGTTATCCAAGGAGTATTGGTAAAATACAGGAACAGCAAACACCAGGATTGTTCTTCCTGCAGGAATTACTTTGGCAGTTCTTTGTGCTGTTCAACCCAACAGAACCCAGCAAACCTGTGGTGTGCCAGGCAGAAAATCAGCCCTTTAAAGAAAACATCCCTTCCTTCACCTGACATCCATGGCAAAACCAAATTTTTAAGCTATTCCCATGGAAGGAAAAGATCTATCAAAAAAAGGTATTTTACACACTCAACATTTGCAGAGTAGGAGATCAAAACACAGGAGCTGTGRATGTGCCAGATAAGCACAAAAGAGCAGTTAAATGGACAACTAAAAATCATGGAATTKAAGTTTCATTCTCTTTCTAATATCCAATTATTCTAGAACTTCRACCAAATCCTAAATCACTTGCTTCCCAACACAACAATAATAATACTTTTAAATTTATTTGCTCACACCTTGAGCACTTCCATTTCAGCCACGTGGGATGTGGCACCGAAGACCACAAGTGTACCAGCCTTAGAGACATCATTTACTCTGTTCACCTCAAAGTCACAAAAAAATGAAACCAGGAATATGATTTGAAGTAGCTTGAAACTCTCAGATAAAGGATTCCAGTGCTACAATAACATTTAGTTATATATATTTGCTTTAKTGAGCCTAAGAAGGATCAAAAGCAGGATCTGTATTTATATAAAACCACTCAGATTTCCTGAAACAAGTCCAGAGCAACCYAGTCTTGAGCAGCCAAAGAACACAAAGCAGGGAAAGAAAATATCRGATTAGGAAATACCTGTTAAAATTCCAGGGATGTGACAGTTTCTTRTTGAAAGCACAGAACACATCTTGAGAGGGTTTTTTAGCTTTGCTCCTGTGAAAGCAGCAGCAAAGTCACAAATCCTTGTGGTTCACACCTTGAGGCACCAGTGGCTGCTGTTGGCAAGAAGCCMTAAAAATCTCTACTCTKTTTTTTTTAATTTTGCTTTTTTACTGTTTCTTCACCTCTCTAATCCACCTTTACTGTCTTGTCCTTTCTAGAGCAATAAAACTCCAGGAGTCTTTTCTTTCTTCCTTTTTTTTTTTCTTTTCAGAACACTCATAGCAAGACAGGGAAGTAATTTGTGCTTATAAATCTCAAGACAACTAACTCTAGGGCATAAAAATGCAAATTACTGATGCTATCAGGGGGCTGAAATTGGCTGCCATATAACCATATATTTTGCAAGCTTTAGCACAAACTACTCTGTTGACTTCTGGAAATTAGCTTTCCATGATCTCCTAGTAATTACTACACATCTGAATGACCCTTTTACTCTCCCTGTATTTTCAATCACTGACTTTTATTCCCTGTCACTAACTCCTATTCATCATCAGYTGCTACTTCTTATTTCTTTAAAATTCCTAAAGATTTCCCTCTCAGATGCTTTAGCTTTTACAAGAGCTCATCGTTTGTCCCACTAAACCACAAATAYCTGAAAATAAATGTTCTCTCTGGAAAGAATTGTACAGGCAGAGGTGRGAGCTCTGAGGCTGAAATGAAGCAGGCCCACAGTTTTAACAGGAATTTACAGGCTCCTGAGAGAATTTGTCTGAAAACTAAGGATGTTTTAAAGGTASCTGAAGTTACATTAGCAGATTTAGATGCTGGAGAAGTTCTGGAAAAGTTCATGGARGGGGAATTAATAAATCATTTTTTCCCTTCAGACCTGAGCAACAGAATGAGGTTAAAAACAACAGGTGCTTGTTTGCATCCCATTTTACTTTTTCCTTGATTAGAAGTAGTTAATTACAGAGAGATGGCAATAAACAGTTCACAGCCAACGAAGTTAAAATCTGATTTCAAGATTTGCTTCCAAAATGTTCGAGAAATGTGCAGCTAAATGTGACCTAGCAGCTAATTACAGCCTTGCTTTCCTTTTAATCTTTGTATGCCAGAGACATTCCCACTCTTAATGAATGCAAGGAATTATTTGTGATCATCTCCTAATGAAGATACGAGTGCAGAGACACCCCCTGCCTGGGTGGGCAGCTGTGGCTGTGGTTTGGTTGTTTTATTTAGGGKTTTTTTTTCACATTAATATGCAGACTGACAGCAGCCCACAGAAGCTGACAAATGGCMAGCACAGCCACCAATTTCCCAGGGCTGGGGATGGGGCCAAGTCYTGCTGCAGTGGAATTTTTGCCACCAGCTTCAAGGGGACTGGAATTGAACTCGTTATCCATAAAACTGAGAAAATATCACCCAGTTCCTTCGACTGGAGTAAGGAGAAAGTTGCTGCAGTGACCAGGGAGTAATTTATATTGTGAATAAAAATGAACTGGCACCCATAAAGGATATTGGCCATTCAGTATGACCTGGAAATGGACTTGTGCAAAGAGCTGGGAGGAAAGAATCTTAAAGAACCTTCACACTTCAAGAGTTCCCAAATTTCCACCCATGCCTTTTATGTTTTGGTAACTAATTTTTGGAGTGCAGGCCTGACAGCTTCCAGTCAGCCTCCATGTTCCCTCTCCCCACCTCCAGAACTGGAGCCACATAAAGGGACCTGCTTTTATCACCATCAGATTTCCTACAGACCTGCTCAAGTTCTAATTTTAACTGTTGATTTGCTTAATCCTGTTCTCTCAGGACATTTTCCTATATTCACTCGTTATTTTTGCTGCCTCACTGTTCTCACTTCTACCTATGGAGGTTGTAAGGAAGTTATAACCCACACTAAGAGAAAATTGAATTTTGTGGAGTGAGAAAGCACAGCCAATTGCCAGGGAAACATTTTCTTTTACTACATTCCCTTTCTTTTTTTTTTATATCATGAAAACATATGTAAAAAAAAATTCTAATAATTAAAAAGGCAACCAAGAGAATACCAAAGACCTGCAAGAATAACAGTTACAACTTCTGTAAATGTTCTCTGGTTAAAAAGATTCTTCCCTGAGCTGCTCTGTATCTCAGCACCCCTCAAATGTGACCATCCCACTTTAAAAAGAATGAACACAAAAAGAACAGCTGAATACTGCCAGTAATGGAAGAAGTTTTCACACAGTCTAGGAGCAAATACACAACTCAGGATTTTTGGGAAAAATATACTATTCAGGATTGTGCCTGGGATTTTGACAAAAAATTTTCTGACAAAACATATTACCAAAGTGATTTGGAGCCCTATGATTGTTACCTCTGATTTTCTTCCTCCAGAATGTTCTCAGCCTTCCATTAATCCATTATTTTTTGTTCTTACTCACTGTCACATGAAAGAAGCTATCATTTTCCTACAGGAAAATCTGAAATATTATAATGAGCATTCAGACATTCATTTCTGTGTAGCCATTCCTAATAACTGGAATTCTCTTCCTTTTCCCTAGCTCCTGAAAGCCTGATGCAGGCTTTGGAAGACCTGGATTATCTGGCAGCACTGGATAACAATGGAAACCTCTCTGAATTTGGAATTATTATGTCAGAATTCCCCCTGGATCCACAACTGTCCAAGTCACTGCTGGCTTCGTGTGAATTTGAGTGTGTGGATGAGATGCTCACCATTGCAGCCATGGTAACAGGTACCCACAGATCCTGTCCCACCTGCCCAACCCAGACTCTTCCCAAATTTATCCACAAAAGCGACCCAAAAGTAAATTTTTGTTGTTCTCATCCTGCTTATTTCAAGTAAATTAATATATTTGGCTGTTCAAGTCTGAACTGTGAGGATACAATGAAACTTAAGTCAAGAATTCCCACAGAGCATTCAATTTCCAGGCTTCCATTGGCTCTTTCCCCTTGGCCAGAAACATCCCTTCAAAATGAAACTGAATCTCATATTAATCTACATTTGTTACAGACTGGTGCAGCAAATTAAGGGAAGCTCTAATTATCAAACAACATTGAACTGTTGACCTACAAACAATTATTTTGTGATCTTTTCTCTCTACTTCAAATGTTTTATAAAACTAACACAACCTTGGAGTCTCAAGCAGCCAACACATGAACCACAGGATATCAAGCTGCATTAGTTGTTCTCCTTGTAGGACAACTTTTTGTGCCCAAACTGGGTTGATTTTTAACTAGTGATAGTTTTTTAAGTACATACAACAAAGGTAAATGATTGAGCATAAGCACAATTCCATTTTAAAAAAAGCTCAACCATCTCAAAAAAACTCAAAGTAAAATGCACTGGAAAGCACAAATTTCAACATGGAGGGCCAAATTAAAGTGTTAAAATAATAGATTTAGTGTTTTTCTGTAAAAGAAGCCATTTGTTGAATTCTGGCTAAATTGGGTTTGCCATTATGCAGCATTTTTGGCTTCAGAAGGGGAGATCACCTGTTTTTGTGTTTGCAGCACACATTAACAAGACACTGAAAGGACACTCACATCAATAAACCCTTAGC